AATCATTGTGCAATAACTCGCTGTTATTACGATTTTTTAAGGAATTCCTTGCCGTAATGAACTTTGCTGTAATTTCGTATGATTTAACTTCTTCACATCGCTCACCATTTGGCTCTGATCAACTCGACAGAATTGCCTTATACAGAAAATGAAGAAAAACAAACTACTTTGGAGCCTGCCATATCTTAAGCCCAGCAGAATTCCGAGCTTAAAGGCAATGTACTGGATCGAACTGATGTCTCAGAGCGCTTGTGTGTGACCGTAGGAATGTGGTGTGACGTAAAAACGGAAGAAATATTTGAGAGGCGCAAAGATAAAACCACTTTCTTTAGCTGTTTCAAAGCAAAACAGCATTGATTGTGGGCGGGCTGTATGATGATGGGCGGAGCATATAGTGAAGGCTTGAACAAAAATGTCCCAACCTTCTTAATTCATGGCGCTAAGGGGCATATCCTCTATACTTTTGTTCCATTTCTTATAGCTTGATTTCGTAAGTAATTGTTGGACGAGTGTAAGCCCATGGAAGATATGATACGATGAGATAAGAAGGTGCGGCTGCTTGATAAGAGGTGCACTCCAGAATGAAAACGGGACGATAACGATAACGGTATCATATCTAGCACGCTCTTATCGCACCCCTTTCCACATCGATAAGTCTTGGTTTTTGCTGAACGGAAGTGGATTTCGGCGCCTTATCACTCCGTTGATAAGGCGCCACTGCCACTGAAACCACGTGTTGTAACATTGGGCAGGACCCTATCCACTCCAGTACACAGCTTTCCTTATCGTCCCTATGAGAATTATCGTGACCACTTCCTTCAATCAGACCTACTAGGTTTGGTCGCGTAGCTGAGCTAAATCATCTGACCATCGCAGTTACGGCAGTTAACTGAACTAATCATATCCTGAAACTACTGCTGGAAGGCCAGCTTCACACAAGGCATTAGTTCCAGTATAGTCGAGCGACATTCTTCTTCTTCTTCCTAGCCTAAATCCCGAGCAATCTCAGGGTCCGCTGTCTTCCTTTTGCGACTTTAGACATATTGTTGTGACTGGGGTCTTCATCAGCCGGCCTGTCAACCTGGGCCTGACGCTGGTACTGGAACCATTTTTGCAATTTTTGCAGGGCATGGTTTTGAGCCTCGGCAGGGATCGAACTCGCGCTATAGCGACATTCTTCCTAGGCATTTTTTTGCAACTGATCAACTACCCTAAACTCACAATCAGCGGTGGTGAAGAGCCCTTATCATGTAGAGAAGGAACCAGGCAACCGTGAATTGATCCTGTAGTATACCACGAGCTTCCCTACATTGTTTGCAAACTCTCGCCATGCCCGGCTCTGAACCCAAGATGATTCCGACTGTACAACGGATCACTACCTCTGCACTATGCAGCGCTAATAGCTATCGTTCAACAACTCGCTGATATCGTAGTGAAGGGGTGCTCGCTATAGATATCTTTCGATCTTGTCCACGTGAATGTGCGCTAACGTGTTCACAGGGCTAGATTTCTAAGCTTTTGCTCTGCTTGCATCGAGTGCATCTCTAGCACGTAAGGTTCACACTACTTTACGACATTAACTTCAACTTAGCGGGCCGGTTAGAGAAAGGAAGGATAACGGGATTGTAGAGACGCAGATGCCACGCTGGCCTCGTTGACCCTCCAGTAAAGAGTCCTAGAGAGTCAACGTGGCATCTGCGTCTCTATAATCCCATGGTCTTTCTTTTCTTTGCTGAACTAGGAGAAAATTGGAAGTTATTTCTCTGAGTCCCACTTAAAATGGGTTTTTCGATCTTAATGTTGCTATGGGGTTGTGAGTCAATGTGGTAGGGAGCGCTTCAGACCTCTTAGCAAACCATGACTTTTACCTGAGTTAATCACGATACGTCAATTCAGAGTTGATCTGAGGTTTTATCACCCCTGGATAAAAATTGTTCGAGTTCTTTGAGCGCGAAGCTTTGGATTCCTGCGCGATGATCTTTGCCTTGATCCTGAGTAGTGTTCGGTGTAAATATGGGCCCTTTATAGCTCTCAAATGAATCGGTAACCACAATTTTGCTCTTCCATCCTCAATTTTCAATCTTCAGTGACAGTCGAATTTTCTCTCCGAAAAACTGTCGTTGAAGGTGTATGTAGCGATAATGCGTAATACCAATTGTGGACACAGTGGCATACATGACAATAACCGGTTACAAGGCTT